TATATATATATAGGCTATATATATTTATATATTTATATATATTTATATATATATATATATATATATTTATATATATATATTTATATATATATATATATATATAAATATATATATATATATATATATATATATATGTTATGTTGTGTTATTGTTCACTCCGTAATATGATAAGATATATGAAAATGTTCTCGAGTGTGTATTTCATAAATTCCATATATATATACAATAGATTACATATGACTAAGTTTAAATTGTTTCTAAAATGTATTTATTTTGTATTTACATGTATATATTTATTATTATATACATATTTTTTTTATATTTGAATAATGCTACCGAAGACGTGTTTCTAATCTCAAGTGGTAAACTATTGTAGAGTGTGCCATGTGATAACCTGTACTAATTGTACTGCAGCACAAAAGAACTAAATGAAAATGCGAAGAAAAGCACCAAATTTTGGTTGAAGTCTGGCAGGACAGCTGGACTTTGGCGAAAGAATATATAATGATGTTGACATTGAGAGTTATCCAGTTTTGTGATATGCTAATATAAACAAGTAATCATACGATATTGCCATGCCATCGCGTGATACCTATACTAATTACGATGTAAGTGTGCCGACTGCACGCATGCTACTTTACTGGAACGGAGTGGCAAACTGAAAACAATATTAATGACCAAAGAAAAGCCGCTCAGAAAGCGGTACAGTTAGCCTAGAATGTTAATTAGGACGCTTAATAAGCAAGCGATGGCTACCAGTGCTTTTTCCCGCCTTCCCAATGACAAAAAGGAAAAGCCCTGGGAACGAGGTTGAGCTCCCGCCATTTTGACGAGTCGTATTTGCATTAAATCCCATTTACTGATCATTTAATCCCTTTAATACACGAGTTAAAAGAAACTGCGATCACCGTACGAGAAGCATTTTGACGGATGCGATTTATCGAAAACACAGAGAGTGCAATGGAATAAAACGTATAGTACAATTGCACTCGCAAATAGTGCAATGGAACGTATGCCATTGCACTCTTAGGAAATGGAATTTTCTATTAATCTATTCAATATCACGTGACCGTAAACAGCCAATTAAACGATCAGAATTCAATAAGGTATTATATAATATACAAATAATGCATATTTATGAGTGCTATGGTAAAATATTTTCATAAGTTGAAAGATGGAATTTTCTGAGTTTTATATAAAACGAAAATAATTAGGCCTATCAATATGCAATACATCCATTTTTATTGAATTAGAATAATTTATAAAATGAATAGAAAATCCAACAAATATATCCCAAGAAATGTTTGAGTGAAGAGTTAATGTAATAATAACATTAATTTAATTCAACATTGTCGTGAAATAATTTCACACCCGCAATTTTGCATTTAAATTTAATTCATCCAACTCATTATGAAGATTTGGGCTACATGAGCTACAATCACTAAAAGGTTTTTGGACAGTTCTATAATATTATATATATATCTGCGCATTTCCAAATTACTATTCAGCATAATAACACTATCCCTCCCACTCCCGCCATGAACAATGTTGGGTGGTTGGCAAGAAACATTTTGCCCAGGTTCTTTCCCACACAACCTTGAACTGGGGCGCGCGGGGGGGTTCGATTATGTTGTAAACGTACGCTCTTTTGCTATTTTGTCCAAAATGTTTTGTCACTGATTGTACGATTAGCATACGATTAATAATTTGACGGATGAAATTTATTGAAAATTAAACCGTGCAATGGAACAAAACGTATACTACAAAACTGTAGCTACAGCCGCCCGAGCGTGCATGCAACTGGATGCGGGGCATTACACCCTAAGGAAAATGGTAGTTTGTGTTGCATATCACGTGATCATAATCAGCCAAATAAATTACCAGACTTTAATAGATGATAGATACAATTTTATTTATTCAGGGTAATGACTAAATCCTATCAATGGTTTTATAGCTTTTATAAGGTGTTATATAAAATTTATCAATAACCTTTCTATGATCTTAAATTGCTATTCATGGAACCATACTTACTTTTCATGGAACCATACTCCATTTTTCCAGTAGCACCTTCTTATATCTTCCGCACCAATTTTGTTTATTTTTTATTTCAGGTGCCGGCGCTGTCATTCACACACATTCCAAGAACTGCGTTATGGTCACGATGTTGTACTCTGGGAAGGAATTCCGCATCACACATCAAGAAATGATCAAGGGAATGAAGAAAGATACAACGGGGCTTAATTACAGGTGAGTGGTAATATCCTATGGATGTTGTCAAAATTAGTTTCTGGCATAGTGCAACTCTCATAATTATTTAACACCAGAAAGCTGCGGATCGGAAAGGATTCAACAACCTGAAAAATACAACGTTTGACGATTTGAGCGAAGACAGTTCGTCGGAAAGGCCTTCGAAGAGCTTTGGCTTGAAACGTCGACGTTTTACTTAGTATTAAAATGACACCATTTTGAGTAATAATGCCATCTTGAAATTCAAGATTGAATTGATTTGAATTGATAATACAAGACGAACGTTTGAAACTGTGAATTTTCGACTTTATTGAATTCGAAATAAAGTTGATAATTAATTCACAGTTTCAAACATCCGTCTTGTATTAATTCAAATCTTGAATTTGAAGATGGCATCTGTTTCTTTTTATATATAGTGATATTTATAAAGTAGTTGAATCCTTGTCAATCTGCAGCTTTCTGATCCTATTGCCACTACCTACGCTGGCACAGACATTTGAGTCTGATTTATAACCATAATTTTTCATTGAATAATTAATTATGACATGTATACAGGTATACAGGTACAGGTACAGATACAGATACAGATACAGATACAGATACAGATGCAGATGCAATGCAATTTCTGGGGGTTCACAATGATTTGAAGTAGTCGGCTGTACCATAAATGTAGCCGGCTGTGACTGATAGTTAAAAAGTCGCGCGGGGAGGGGGGCGTGCCCTCGCATGGAAATTTAAATTTTAGCCGCATATGGACCAATCCCCAATTAACCAAAATTTTGATCTCAACCAGTCTAGACAAAATTCCATCATAGCATGAAAGAGCATCACAAAATTAGTAATATTCCAAAGTTTCGTTGGAAATGTTGTAAAATGCGTATAATGTAGCCTTGGGAAATTCGTAATGTTCAGTAATTTTCGTTTCCCGTTTGTAATCTAAAATTACTGAAAATTGAACATTTCGCAAGGCCATATTATCCGCATTTTACAACATTTTGCAACGAAACTTTGGAATATTACTAATTTTGTGATGCTCTTTCAAGCTGTAATGAAATGTTTGTCTAGACTTGTTGAGTTCAAAATTTTGGTTAATTGGGAATTGGTCCATTAACAATCAAATAATATAGAAAAAGTAAAAAGACAAAGTACAACTGTTGACATGTTAGGTTTAGATTTAGATGCCATTTGCATTTATACTTGTAAGTGACAAATGTACTTTAATGTGCTACTAGTAGATTAATTTTTACAGCTGCATGAACAGAATGACAATGTACACTATTAGTATTAATTTATGAGTCCGAAATCATTAATCAAATGATGTTATACTTATGTACTTAATGAACTTCACTTCATCACTTTATCATAATTAGTTCACTGTCAAAGAATTAGTTACTTGAAAAACATTTACCAAAGTAGCTCTGAATCTGACTCGTTCTCTGGCTCACTGTCGTATTCCCCAATGCTTAAGTCACTGCCAGAGTCAATCAGAGTCATCTTCCTGTTCAGGAAGATTCAGAGCCGCTGACCATTTGCTGCGAAACTTAAGATGGCGACGAGAAAACAAAGAATGTTTATATTATCGATTTTCCGACAGCAACTTAAGAAAGCAAGCTACTGTATGTTTGGTACTATGTATTATTAATCTTATTGATCTTCCAAAATAAGTGATGTTTTGCTTGAATTCCAATTGGAACATAACAAACATGGTGTTGGTTCGCTTGTACCTTTGTATAGAAATTTTTTCTGTGACCAGACGAAAAGTAGCCGGCGGTAAAAGTTCAAGTAGCCGGCGGAACTCCGGCAGCCGCTGGCTTAGTCTGAAACCCTGATGCAACAATGCAATGCAATGCAATGCAGCGCAACGCAACGCAACGCAACGCAACGCAACGCAGCACAACGCAACGCAACGCAAAGCTTGGCAGCTAAAAAGAAACTTTTGTTTTTCTATTAGATATGACGAGGAGCTTGTAATTCCCATAATTGACAATACACCAGAAGAACGGAATTTAAAGGTACACTAAAACTGGAATGTTGCCATAAATTGAACGTCTTTTAACAGAATAGGGGCAAATGGCATGCAGTCATTGAAGGGAGTTGTGAAGAGGCGTAGCAAATTCCAGTTCCCAGCTTAATTTCGATCGAAGTCCCAGTTACGAAATCTGAAATCATCCATAGTGGATATTTTAAAAAATATGCATATAATGAATTTAAAAAGTGATGTCATTCTATGGACAACAAACCACATGCGCAGAGCATGGAAATGTGATGGCGGCTATGCTGTCGAGAATGTTTGCCTCCAAGACAGTAGTCCTCGACAAATCACATTTATATATAAGTTTTAATAGAAAATATAAGAATACCCAAAATCACATTGTATGCTCGTCGCAGCTGTCTCACATCCGTTCTCTCTCACTGTCACGATGACACTAACTAATCAAAACTATCACTATATAATCTCCCTAATTAACTATCCCTCCCTAAAGTGTTATACGATATATCTTATCTGTTTGGTCAGTTCCCAACACACTCCCCCATGTAGCTCAATCAAGAGTTATATGTCCTTTGGGACTGACTTCGTTGTAGTTCCATCCATGTTCTTTGTGACTACCTATAACAAAACTAAATTATTAATACGACTAAATAAACATTGTTACACATCGTCTCTGTCCGTTTGAGCATGCTGTTGCATACGTAAATCCGCTGCTACGGCTGCGTCTCTTTTTGGCCGAGGAATGAAGGTGGGAGCGGAGGGATTAGGTTCCCAGTTCTTTTCTTCGATGGACAACTCAAGTGGGTATAAATGCTGGATCGCCCTTTCGAGTACGCCGTTTTCCGTTCAGCCCTCGTAAGACTACATCCGTACAGAACCAAATACGCTTTCTTTGAGGTTTTCCCTTTTGTCTGATACCGGATCAGACCCGCGAAATCGATACCGAGAACTTCGAAGGGAGTAGTTCCTTGCGTACGAGTGGTAGGCAGGTTTCCGGGGGGTGGGTTCTCGTATGATTGCACTCGAAACCGTTTGCAATCCCAGCAATCGCTCCGCACACGTTTAACAAGCTGTCGTAGCTTTGGGACCCAATGTAAATAATCCCTGATCTTTGCCATAATCATGGCAACTCCGGCGTGAAGAGTGGTGAGGTGAGCTTGTTCGATCATTTCACGAGTGAAGAGGTGATCTTG